ATAGTGGCCTTGGTCGCCTCGGGCGACTCTCTGCTTGCAATAGTTTTCCGTTAACTGTTAGATTCATATTTGTAAGTTATAGATAAGTATATCGTTGTCATTCCTGATTGCAAATGCTATGGAAAATATAGAAGAATACTGTTGTTTTGTTTGTTTTTGTCAGTTCCAATGGTGATGACGTACACATATTGAATCAATCTGATTAAAATAAGATCTTAGTTTTGGCTTTTTGTATATTTATTTTATTTTGATCTAGTATTTATTTTTTGAAGTTTTGGTAATTGGGAAAGCCAAAAAGGGCGAATTAAAAAAAGTTAAATAATAAAATAAAAAGGCATTAATAACAAAAGTAATAAAAATAAAATAAAAGTAAGTTTATAGCCAAACTAATTAAAGCCCATACTCTAAATCAGATTTTAATCAGATTGATATTGAATTTGTTCAAGTTTACTAATTAATGTAACTATGAGTCGACTCAATAGCTAAACTTGATTTCGATGTGACAATCGCTTTCGGAAATCGCTAAAGTTTGGTTTACAGTACTAACGTATGAGAGGGTGCTCGCTTCAAGCACAATATTGTACGTATCCGTTATATTATTAGTGGAATCGGCACCAGCAAACTTTATCACGGCGAGAAAATGCAATCTCCGCTGGGCGAATGATGTATATCCACGAGTAAAAAGTATACGAGTCACGTGATATCCGGCATATGCACGTAAAAAGTATTGGATCACAAACATAACTGTTATGAATCATATGATCGAAGTGCGGAATATTTGACTCCCGTGAAGCATCTGTGTTCAGTTACCCCCCCCCCCCTCTCTACACATACACACGCATGCCATGCACTATTTCAAACACTCAAACAAGACGGCGCGCGTACGTAACCGCGTCACAAACCAAACATCACCAAGGAGAATTTAAACAAGGAAAAGTATGACAAACGATAGTCGCAAGAGCTAATCTACGATTTCCCGGTGTTTGAGTGAACCATTACCTCACCTGTCCCTGTAATAGCTTTCATCATTCATATGACAAATCACCGATAATGTTTTCAGATTTCCTCCCATTGACACATTTCTTTCAACCGTGGGCGTGCGATGATTGCTGGCTGCAGTTGCTGTCAATATACTTGACGGCGTCGACAAAAGGAAACACAATGGCTCAATTATTACTAAGTTTTATGTTAAAAATAATAAAAAAAAATATGCACAATCTGCAAAAAATCCGGTCTACGAGATATCGTCTGGCTGGCGATCCACGTGTCATTAATTACAGAGATTTATTTACCGTCTACACGTGACATTTGCCACTTGCAATTGCAATATTAGTCTTCTTGACACAATGGGCCCGTATCTATAACAACCACTGACTTTGTGTCCAGTTCGTATAAACTTATATACGACGGTCTACATATTTCTACTCACTGGGGAGTCCTTCAGTTAATCGTTTCTCAATACCAGGGCGTCTAACAGCATGACGTAACTGTGACTGCAGAAATATATACAAGGGCGTGAAAGAGTCGCTTTCATTTTTTCGCAGTTGGTGAGACCTGATACCTATTCTCACCAACATAGCTCGAGGCAGTGCTAACAGTTTTTATCGACTTTCAGCGGCGCAAAATGTGTGTTAGGTATTATACCACACAATCTCAAATACACCATTATGTAAGTCGCGCCGACTAGCGGCCATGAAGTTCTGTGTCGTAAAGGCATGTAATAAACATCGTTTACAATTCGATAGATAAATGTCTGGAAAGAGAAAAAATACTATTTTCATAGATTTAATATTTTTTGAGTGACGAGCGGCTATACAAAAAGTTTATTTGAACGACGTTGCTTTCTCTGGTGTACGTCAAAGTAGCTCTTCGTCGCTAGAGAGCGCCCCTTATGAGGATTAAATTCAGTAAATTGCGATAACGTCGTATTGGTATAAAACGGCGAGAATTACGAGTATGGTTGCCGACTAACGAAGAATATCAAGTGAGATTATCAAGCCGCTCTGGGAGACTTCATGATAGCTGGTCATGATTCTATACGAGACAAACATTTCTCTTATCAACGGTAGAGAAGAGGGTAAATATTAAGTTTCTCCAGGTGCGAGAAAGTGGCACTTGTTTCACTTCACGATTGCACTTGTTATCCATAACGGTTGAAATTACAGACGATCGCAATTGACTGGTACACATTTCTCCGTCAAAACAACGTTTAAAATCGCATACGTGCCGATTACGGCCGACATTCTCAGACAAATGTAGACTGTGATGACGATGCGAGACTTGTTCGGACAATTACAACAAAATAAAACTTGAGGAATGATCGAAATTCGCATACATCCAGTGGATGCTGTCAGGCGTATTTGCGCTAACGAGGGTGACAAACATTGCATTAAAATTGATTCAGTTGTGCAGCCGTAAATGGTGTCGGTAATGGTATGGTGTCACTCTTGTATGATAAATTGTCGTAAACCCGCCCCAATTATCTGTTGAAAGCTCTTTGTGTCTTAGATTGTTGATGCTGCGATGTGACCGCAAGGTCGTCTGCCGACAGTTGATATGTCTAGTAGTGCTGCCAATTTGATTTAGTGAATAGCGGAGACACCACTATGCCTACTGATTACCATGCGTTACCATGGTAACGCATATTTGTTTCACCGCCGCACACTTTATGATGAAATCTGTCTCATTAATGAAATGCAGCCCGAGTTTGTTCCAATGTTTGCATTCCTTCTCTTCTTCTTGTTCTTGTCTTTTCATTATATGTTGGCATCATTATATTTCAATGCATTTGGAAGCTTGGTTCATTTCAGTTACTATAGTAACTGCATTTACTATTTGATGCAATCATATGAGATTACTGAATTATTACATATACTCTGTAATATACGCCTTATCGTTCATGGCAGGGTATCTTCGTTGGCGCACCATGTACCTTAAGGTAATGCGGCTGTAAATCAAGCCGAGACTCAGAGTCGTATTTCCTTGCATTGCAGTTAACAATACTGTGTTACGCCGATTTCTATTCTGAATTAACCATATGCCACATACCAGGCTAATTCTTGAACGTAACGTTGCTGGCGTTGTGTTTATGGGATCATGGTCTACCAATATATTATACCTCAGCAGAGGCGGCGAGGAGGCGAGATCTCCTCTACAACCTTACTAGGGGGTCCGGGGGCATGCGCATGCTCCCCTTAACAATTTTGAAATCCAGACCCTCTGAAACGCTATTTCCCGCATTTTAGGGGGGTTGCTGACACAAAAGGTTTCAGCTTGATTTTGGAGGGGCGACGCCCCCTAACAATTGTTTCGAGGGGGCTACCGCCCTCTCTGTCCCCACTCCGTGCCGCCGCCACTGCTCAGAATTTTCGTTGCATTTGGTCGCTACTATTCAGAATGTTTTCTGTTTCATTCTTCCATCGAATGTTTAATTGGGCCAGAGAAAAAAACATCTTTTTGTCGCAGTGTGTGATGGTGATTTCCCGACGAGCACACGAATTCTTGTCGATATCATTCAGTGATGTTGCTAACACGGTTAATAAACACAGATCGTTTTGCAGACGTGTTTTCAAATGATTATTGCAGACGAAACTCGTTAATAAAATTTATAGCCGTCTCAAGTGGCTCTCCTACTTTGTTCTATTCAAACCATGGCCTCACATGTTTCTGTTTTCTCCTCCCATTCAAACCACAATCCCAAGTGCTTCTGTTTAGTTCACTCAATTCAAACCTCGTCGCATATAGTTCTCATTACATTACATTACATTACATTACATTACATTACATTACATTACATTAATTTTGTGGTATTGCACTGGGTATTTTCATCCTACCATATTAGGAAATGCGAATTCCAAATATGGAATGATTACGCGCGTAATTAGGCGTCCTCTAATAATAAAAACAAACATGGCTGCCTCAAGGGTTTGCCGTACCCCATACAAAGAAGTTCGCTAAACCTGTTATTAAACGTTTTGAATTTCGGCATTCCTGTGATGTATTCCTGGGTGGAAAAGATGTATAATAATAATAATAATAATGATAATAATGTAGTCAGGCAGTATGCGTTCGCATCGATACTACCGCTGTACTGTCTTCGTTCATACTTAGCAGTATCCTCGTAATAACCTCATATTACATTAACATTACATTACATTACATTACATTACATTACATTACATTACATTACATTACATCACATTACATTTTTTTAATAACCGTGAAACAACATTCTTAAGTGGTTCTATTTACTCCGTTTCATCCAAACCACCCCCTCAAGTGGTTTTGTTTACTCCGTCGCTTTTAAACTATTGTCTCAATTTGTTCTTTTTATTACGTTCAATTTATACCACCGTTTTAAATAGCTCTGTTTACTCCAATCAATTCGAACCACCATCTTATATGCTTCCTTTCATTCCGTTCCATAGTGGTGATGGTAAAGAGGAGGAAATGGTTTCATCGCTTCGTAATACCGTAGATCTTATGATGAAC